ATTAGGTTATATTACTATAATAATATAATTATTTCAGTAATATAACCTAATAATAACCTAATTTTAATAATTATTTTAATGAAAATTTAATAATTAACAGCGCAGTGAATTAACCACTATGTCGGTAAAAACTAATTTCTACGTTATTTTTATAACATAAATTTTTTTAACAGCTTTTTGAATTAGACAGAATTCAAATAGAAACTTATTTCTAAATTATATTTATAATATAAATTGTTTAACAGGGCATTGAAATTTCGAGAATTCTGATAAAATTTATTTTAAGTTACATTAATTATATAAGTTGTTTAACACTGCACTAAAATTATCTTTATTTCGGTAGAAATTCATTTATACGTTATTTTAATAATGTGAGTTGTTTAACGGCTCTGTAAATTTATCATTATTTAGGTAGAAATTAATTTCTGCAAAAATTTTAATAATATAAGTTGCTTAAAAGTGCAGTGCATTCTAGTAGGAACACACGATTTATATACTATTTCAATACAGTTTGTGGCATGGTTTTTCACTAAATTGAACATTACAATTAACTTTTAACTATCTAGCATCTACAGGACCAGGAATCAATCAAAAAAATCATATAATAAATATTTAACAGGAGCAGTTAGAAATACTGTTCTGGTTCAAAAATTTTGGAAAAAAATTACTGAAAAATTAAGTACATTAGGTATTTATTTAGTACATTAGCCTTTATTATTATTAAGTATGTCATAAGACAAAATAATTTTTAAAAAATATAAAAGCAACTTTTCTTGGGCTCTTCATGAAAAAGTAGCAAATAAAATATTGAATATAACGTAAGAATCCAGCTGATACAGTCTCAGTTAATTTTTCAGATATTAGGTTCACTTTATATAAAATTTATCTTGCAGTGTATTGCAAGAATTTCTTATAATTTTTTTTTCAAAAAGCATACTTTTTCGTCTTAGTTTTTTTTTTATTTATTTTTTTAAAGTGTTTTTTATAGTCTTAGTTAATTTTTCAGATATTAGATTCACTTTATATAAAATTTATCTTACAGTGAATTGCAAAAATTTCTATTAATTGATTTTTAAAAAAGCATACTTTTTCGTCTTAGGTTTTTTTTCCTTCTTTTTTTTAAAGCGTTCTTTATATTTTCCAAATATTTTTTTCCTTTTTGCAAACTTGATACTGGCTGTAGATCTTGATTTGAGGTCAGATACATTTGTATCGCTCAGAACTAAAGAGAAAATCTTGTGGCGTAACTACCACTACAAATATTAACTACCAATTCACTAGTATATAAGACATGTTAACTGAATCTAAGTAAAAGTACCTTTTGATAGATGAAAGTTTACATTGTCGATAATTATATCCCCATCAAACGATGGATGGTCCACAATTAAACAGTTGATTAGCTTAAAATAAATCGCTCAAAAAAAATCGGTGAAGTAAATATAATTTTTTATGGTCAATAAACAGAAATTGAAGAAAAAAAATAATGAGTGATATGATATAAATAAACAAAAATGAATAAAAAATATAATGAGCAAAATGATATAAATGAGAAAAATAGTTATTTAATAAATAAATAAAAAACCCAGCATAAATCAACTAATGGTATTCATTCATCGAATTTTATCACAGATAAAATTCTGGAAGGGGAGTAATGTGACGTAACTACCACTATAAATATTAAATACCAATTCACTAGTATATAAAACATGTTAACTTGACCCTATCTTGAGGTACCTTTTGATAGATCAAGGTTGACATGGTTCATAAATAAATCTCAAGCTTATCTACTATCAAGCTTATCTAACTGTTGATACTATTTATTTAAGTCATTCATTAAATATTGCATAATAACGAACATTGTCAAAAATGATAAATGGACAAAAAAAAAGAGAGACAAAAAAAACTTTTTTTTTCATTTAGCATAATGAACAATAATTACAATTATTGTTCGTTATGTTGTTAATTAATATTTTTAGTGATCATAACATATATTGCATGAACTATTACTATGTAAAGTTCAATAAAAAGTAAAATACAGAAAAACTAGTGTAAGTTGACAGCTTGCATTACTTCAGTGGTCATCTTATAGAAGGGTATGTGTCATTTATTTATCGTTCCATTTTTTTTTAATCATTATATTTTGCTTATAAATACCATGTTATTTACATTGCTCATGTTATTCATTTGCTGTTATTTATATTGTTATTTATATTCGAAGATGAAAATGTGTGGTAAAATTAATTCATTGTATGATAAAAACATTTCAGGTAAAAAAAAATAATAAATTATGATTAATAAAATAAAATATATGGTGTTTAAACTATTCATTTGGCAATTTCTACGTTCATTTAGTAATGATTTACCGGTTACCTGGTTTTCAAAGTTATATTTCTTATCACACATTTAGTAAAAAAAAAAAAATCTGAAAAGTAAATTTAATCGAATAAATTGCTTTTATGCTATGCTCTAAGGCATCAAGATAAAATTGCAGAACTTTACCACAATACCAAATTTTATCACTTATTATAAAACCATATTTCATTGCTAATTTTACCCAAATCTTTACCAAAGCTCCTCGGTAAAAATCACGTAGCTTCTTAGTATTTCCATCGAGCCAGAAACGTGACCAATTTTACCATATTCTGGTATTTGGACCATACCTTTTTTTCTCGGTGTACATTCTTTACATATTGCAAAAGGAAATAAAGATAAATGTAATCAAGTGTTATTTTTTTAACATAGCTTTAAAATTTTATTTAGCAAATGCCTTAAACAAATGAGATTATTAATAAAATGAATTACAATTTGTTACATAAATTTAATATTAAACTGATCAGTTTATAATATTAGTTTAGGTTTCAAATTTGTTAGTCATGTCTGCTATTCATAATAAAAAAAATTTCCAAATATTTATAATAAATAACAGGCAGGAAATTAATAAAAATATGTATATTATAGAAAATGCTGTCCCACAAAATATTAAAAGCATTTATAGTGTAAAAAATATGTTTTAGAAATTTTTTATATATTAAAAACATTGCGTTTCAGTAGGGAACCGCTTTATAAAGCTATTTTACTATTAAATTATTATAATCTTGCATTTCTAATCTAAAAAAAAAACGAGGACAATTACGCAGAAACTATTAAGTAAAAAAATTTATGAAAAATATTCATTTCACCACTTTAAAATTTATTTTATATTACTTACAAATCTATTTGTTACAAAAGACTTTATGAGTTTAAATTATAAAGATGTTGAGGTTAGCTTTTAATTCTATTTCCTTAATAATTTGGTGAAATTTTAATAAGCAACACAGGCTTATAAAAAATGTTCTGGAATTTTTTTCTTCCCCTGGTTAACTTATGAACGGTTTAGAATAGCATTTAATAACACTCCTGGACAAAATTGACATATTTCAGACTGCAAGATATATTTTACATGCATGTGGTCGGGTGGCTAAGGCTCCCCCCCTGCCCCTTTATAAAGGATAAATTTGATTTTTGATAATAGGGTTAAATCAGACATGGTCAACTTACGGCGGTCAACTTACAAAGTTGGTTAATTTGGCAGGGTATTCACATCAAATTTTTTCAACACGGGCAAAAAAATTCTGGTAAAATTACCGTACTGCATAGTAATTACATTTTTTTTATAAAAGAAAATTATAATTCCAGTAATAAGAACCAAAATATACAAAAACAAGAAAAGAACCCTATGCCTTAAGTATTCGTTTGATTTCAAGCAGGGTTGCTGGTATTGGCAAGTGACGTAAGTAAGAACAACAATAACAACAAATATTTTCTTGCAGCTTTGATATCAAAGTTTTTCATATTCAAAACTGAAACAAATCTGTACCCAACAGATACGATCTGTATCAGTGGTTACAGATATTATTTTTTAACAGAAAAATACAAAATACTGACAGATTGCTATGCAGTTCAACAGAAAATTTCTGTTGTTTTGCAGAACAGAAATTCCCTGTGAGAAAACTGCAGAATTATTAGTATGTTTCATAACAGAAATTTGCTACAGTGTAAATACAAATTTGATTAATTTTCAGCTTTTAAATCATGTATTCTTACTGATACACAGTGTTAAATAAGTATCTTTTTCGTTACAGGCTCGTTGAAAAATATTAACGCATCAAACAAATATGAAGAAGATTTTCGATCAGTAGTATCAGACAATGTAACAACATATAATGTTTCTAAAGATGACTTGATGAACAATTTGACCAACGGCGACGTATCACAGGTTCTGCACGAAAAGTCTACCTTGAAAATTGGTGGTAAAGGTAAAACAGGGAGAGGGGGCTCGAAAAGTAACAGAGATGGCAGTAAAGGGGGTGGTCGTATTACTATATATAGACCGATAAGAAAATACAATCATTCCAGTGGTGATTCAACAATCACATATATCATGATTGGATGGATAGCTTTCTTAGGTGTGAGTGTCGGGATTGCACTATGGTTACACAAAAGGTGTAAAAAAAATGAGGATGAAAGCATTGAAATGGAGAACAAGAACAAAGACAACAGCCAGGGAGAGAAGGAGAATGTGAACAAAAAGGAGAACAAGGAAAAAGATAAGAAAGAAGAAAGCGAGATGATTTTAAAAAGGAATGAGGAACATATGTGTAATAATAATAAATACTGCTCTATAAAATATTAAAATTTTTAGAGATTTATTCAAAAGAAATTTATACATTGAAAACATTGTTTAACAGTGTGTACATTAAAACAGTATACATTAAAAACGGTATACGTTATCCCTGAAATGTTTAAATTTAAAACTGGGATTCTATACACAAAATTACAAGAAAAATAAATGATTTTTCTAGTAATTTTGAACATCAGTAACGCAAGAAATCAATACCCTTCACCATTTACTAAATATCCGTTGCACTCTTCAGTGGATCTCAGCTCATGTTGGAATCCAGGGGAATGAATGCGCAGATGCCCTTGCAAAGGAAGCACGCGACGAAGATCAACTTCGAGCCAAAGAATATAGCTCGAGCTGTCACCTGTGCAGATGCGAATGCTGTCGCCAGGCGAAGGACCAACTTTTTAGCAAGGCAACAATCCCCGATCTAAACTGCCCAATAAACCTCTCCTCTACAATAGCTGGGCCAAAGAACTACGTACTAGACATTTCAAAGGCATGAAGATCTCACGCACCAATATAAAATTCTATCCCATCTGCAAGTACTGTCCTCATTTGCAACCAACTCCAGACAATGTTTTTGACTGCCAGGCCATTATCGGCTCCCTCTTTTAACTTGGAGCACCCCCCATCGAAATTCTCCATGGCCATCGCGCTAGAGAACTTGCAAATCTTATTATAAAGACTTTTGGAGGACTCTAATCTTTGCACTAGCACTGTATGCATAGACATGACAAATGATTGTAAAATTTTCTTACATTAAGCGTCTCAGTTTGTGAATATAATTTAAAATGGCTTTGAAGGCTTTTGTGCTTTATAAGAAATATGTTAATGCGTATAATAGTTATCTTAAAAGAAATGTGTTATAGTAGATTTTCAAAATTTTCACAATTTTTAAACTATTGCCATGGATAAATTTGTAATTCAAAAATATGTTAATATGCTTTAGTTCAATAAAAATTAACGCATTGTTTCATTTGTGTTATTTTATTCATAATATTTTATTTGTCTCATTTAATTAAATTAACGTTTAGCTTTATTTTAATCTATATTTATTTAATGAGTTTTTTGTCTTTTGTAATTGTTACGGCTACTGTACTCAGGGTGTCAGCACTCTTAACCGGAATTTCATCCAGAATTATAAACAGTATGGGGCAGTAAGTAATTGGTATTTATTTTTATACAAATACACTCAGTTATTCCGCTGAACCTAGTTTATTTGAACAAATTATAAATTACACTAAAATAATTTTAAGAAATGTAAACTGCACAAAAATTTATGTTATGATACGGACAAGAAAAAAAATACGTAGACAAAAATTTCCTGCAACGAAACACTATCAAACACTATTTTTACGCACCAAATATTTTCCGTAGGCCACGATACGGCAGAGAAATTTGGCATGAAAGATGCTGATAACCCTCTGGTTTGCATAGTGAAGTAGAAGCAGATAAAATTTTGATCTGAAAAAACAAGAAGCGCACCTTCTGCCTTAAAATTTCGCTTGATTTCAAGCAGGCTAGCTGGTATTGGCAAGTGGCATAAGTAACAACAACAACAAATTATTTCTTGCCACTTTAATAACAAAGTTTGTCCTATTCAAAACTGAAAAAAATCTGTACCCAACAGATATGATATGTATCAGTGGTTACAGATATTATTTTTAAACAGAAAAATACAAAGTACTGTTAGATAGGTATATTGCTATATAGTTTAACAGAAAATTTCTGTTGTTTTGCGGAACAGAAATTTCCTGTGGGAAAACTACAGAATTATTAGTATGTTTCCTAACAGAAATTTATTACAGCGTAAATACAAATTTGATTAATTTTAAATCAGGTATTCTTACTGATACATAGTGTTAAATAAATATCTTTTTCGTTACAGGCTTGTTGAAAACTACGAACGACCAGTGATGATATTATCACATATATCTGGCTTGGGTGCTTAGGTTTTTCAGTTGTGATTGGGATAATTATAGGATGCTTAAGAAGTAAGTATGAAAAAGATGAGGATGAAAGCACTGAAAAGGACAAGGAGGACAAGAGCAAAGACAGCAAGGAAGCGGAGGAGGATGTGAACAATAATGAGAACAGTGAGAAAGATAAGAAAGAAGAAAATGAGATTTTAAAAAAGAAGGACAATAAGGAAAACATGCATTTTGTAGAAAATACTACCCTGTGAAATATTAAAATTTCCAAAGAGTAAAAAAAAAATTTTTTTTCTTCTTTTTTTTTTTCTTGAGGAATTGTTATATAAAAACATGTGCATCTCTCATCTGAAATGTTAAGTGCATTTATTACATATGTTACCGGCAAAGTATGAAACGCCAGCATTGCATATAATGCCGGATGTTTTTAGACAGGGATTGAAATATGAAAAGTATTACATACTTTCCCTAGGCATTGTATACAATACCTAGGCATTTTATAGAATGACGAATGCTATTTGCCTTGCCACGTGATAATCGAAACGAATCAGAGATGTATTTTATACTTAGCCGGTAACATATACATTATTGCTGAAATGTTTAAATTTAAAACTGTTACTCTATACATGAAATTATTAGAAAAATAAATTATTATAGAACTTTCTTATATTAAGTGTCTCAGCTTGTGAATGAAATTTGACATAGATTTGAAGGATGGTGTGCTTTATAAGAAATATGTTAATGTATATAATAGTCATCTTGAAAGAAATATGTTAAAATAGATGTTCAAAATGTTCACAATTTATAAACTATTGTCGCGGATAAATTTGTAATTCAAGAATATGTTAATATGCTTTAGTTCAATAAAATTTAACGTAATGTCTTATTTGTGTTATTTTTTTCATATATAACGTAATATTTTATTTGTCTCATTTAATTAAATCAACGTAAAGTCATATTTTAATCTACATTAACTTAATGACTTTTTTGTCTTTTTTCATGCAAATTTAATGTCATGTCTTTTTTGTCNTTTTTTTTTGCACTCAAATTAAATGCAATGCCTTATTTGTTTTGCTTTTTTCATTCAAATTTAATATATCTTATTCGTTTCTTTTTTTTTCTATTAAAAAATAATCTGTCTTTTTTCATTCAAAATTACCAATGTGTCTTATTTTTTAAAAAATTAATGTAATGCAACTTAAAACAGAACATATGAAAATATTTTTGGGTAAAAAATAATTTTAAGGAATCGATTGCAAGTTGTACAAAATGCATAATCTAATTCAAGAACAGGCATAATCTAATTTCGTATTGCAGCATACATCTCAGGGTTTCCTATTAAGCCTGCCTCAGAACAATTCATAAACAATTCATAATAGCTGAGATCCCATAGCAGCTCATGACGACATTGCAGGGCATTCGTTCCAAATAGTTTTAATCTTCATAATGTGCTTTAACTCCCCTAAAAAAAAATTTTGTGACCCCCTGTTGCATGTAACGTTTTTAAACCTGCACATTTCAACAAAAAATAGACTAAAAATGTCATTTGAAAAAAAAAGTTGAAGCTTCGAGAGAAAACGATTGCAGATTTGAAATCAGTCATGTGAAAATATCCTAAATCCATTAAAAAAAACTCATGCAATAGGAAAAAAAAACAAAATAAAGTTTTGTCAATGTTATTCATTAATTTTGCTAATTTTCTTCTAAATGAAAAAAATCTTGCCAAATTTTTAAAAATGTTTCATAACTCTTAAAATATTTAAGTTATTTGCCCTTTTTGAAGCCAGAATAATCATTTTCTGTCTGCGATGTTGAATATAGTTCAAAATTATAGCTTTGTGTCGGATGTAAGCCTCTTAAACTGTGGCTTCTTTATATTCCTTGGCGAAAAAGCTTTGAAAAACGCTTAAAAAATTCTACTCGAATAAAAGAAAACTATACTATACTAAAACTCTTGTATGCTATACCTTTAACACTGTTATACCAAATATATTGTATATTATGTCTTTAAAAATGCACTTAAAACATAGAGATTGAGAGATGTACCATAAAACGAAAAGGGTATAAACTTCAAAGCTAATTTTTTTTCAAATTCTATAAAATGTTACTTTCGTCATTCGTCCAATCAGCTCTTTAATGTATCCAATCTGCTGAGAAAATTAGGGTTAGTTTAAGATAGACAGTCAAAGAGGAGAGATGGCCTATCTAAATATTTAGGCTATTTGTTAATAGATTGCAGCAGATGAAATTTGAAAGGAATTAGTTCGACTTGTTTGTTACAAAGCGTTGTTTTTCGTGACAAAAAGTAGGAAAATTCCAATGTTTGTTTTGCTCTTACTGTCCAATCTTTGTTCCGGTGAAGAAAAAAAAATCGAAGAAATATAATGTCTGAGTGACGTTTTAAATTCAGTGGCCATCTCATCTTAATATTGTCTTTCGAAGCTCTGTCATTAGGGAAAATAAAAAGAGTCACAGTTTTATTGCGTTACACTTAAAGGAATGAGATGATTTTAAAGTATATACCGTAAACCGGGGCGAGTCTACCCATTTTTTCAGTTTGTCAACTTTCAAGTGGTCAAACTTTTGTAAATATTAAAGAAAAAAGGCTTTTAATAGGTGTTTCGGAATCGCTATTTANACAAATAACTTAAATATTTTAAAAGTGATTAAACTTTTTTAAAAATCTCCAATTTGATGACATTTTTCTACCTAGATGAAAATTATCAAAATCACTGCCTTATTCTCAGTTTTCACAAATTTTCATGAGCCCAGCTAATGCAGCAGTGGAGTAAGTTTTTAAATATTAAAAAATTAGACAACAAACGTTTTTCATGATCACAAAACTGTGGCTTTTCTCCATATTGACGTTTTGCGCCATTTTCAAAATAAGCATAGAGAGAGCTGACTTTAGATAGGTTAAACTTGATCTAAAAGTCATGGGTAACTGTTGCAAACTCACAGCAGTTATAAAAATATCATATTATTCGCAAATAAACAGCATTTAATATGATGACGGTAGCCTTCGAAAAACAGCTCTAAACTTCAGGGGTGATGACCACATGAAATCGAGGAGTGGTGACCACTTTTCATCAATATATATACATGCCAGGGATTGTGTGGCCATAAAAAATTTTAAAGTGGTAAAAAAATCATGTTCTGCTGTTTTAACATTACCAGAAAATGCGGTGACTTCAAACATGCTAATTAATTAGTGCTAAATATTAAATAAGTTTCGAAATCAGACACAAAAACGCACTTTCTCTGAATAAACATATATATTTTTTTACCTATTTGGATTCCTGATCCTCAAAATGGGGGGGGGAGGGAGAGAAATTTGATCAAAGATTGGGGTGCTGGGAAATTATATATGTTTAGCGTCGACCCAAAAAGAAGCCAAAAGAGGAGGTGAAATTTAATGTAACCATACTCAAAGAATAAAAAAGAATGAAATAAAAACTGAAGTCATTTATCGTTTTTGTGTTAACTCGGGTCTATCCTCAAAATAGGGGGGGGGGAAGAAATTTGATCAAAAATTGGGGTGCTAGGAAATTATATATGTTTAGCGTCGACCCAAAAAGAAGCCAAAGAAGGAGGAGAAATTTAATGTAACCATACTTAAAAAATAATGAAATAAAAACTGAAGTTATTTATCGTTTTTGTGTTAACTCGGGTCGGGAAGGCTTTTTTTTCTTTTTTAAATACTAGTTAATAAAAAAAATATCTTGAAGTTTCTTCAAATTTGTTTTTACTTGATTTCGCCCAAAAAGTAAAGGTTGCTTTCCATCTCCTTTAAAAACGAAATTTGAATCGATTTATAAATTATTGATAATTTTCCAAGATTTTGGTACTTGAACACATGAATTTTTCATGAAGTATTACTTATATTTTAAGTGGTTTTTTATTCCCTTAAATATGAATATTTTACTCTAACACCAAATTTGCATTATTTTAATTGTATACTGAGTTGTAGGGCATATAATGAAAAAGATCCTTCCCCCC